AGTGCGCCAGGGGCCCCCGGGGCCGCGGGAGTGCTACCGTGTCTGCCCTGGCCCCGCTCCAACCAGGGCCACCACGGCCCCAGAGGCCCGCTGCCCCAACCCTGCAAGCACACACACACACACAGGCACACACATACAAACAGCGCGCACATACACCAACACACACACACCTGCACCACAAACGGCTTCAGCGCCTCCTCCCCCGTCACCTCCACCAGCTCCCCCAGCCCCTCCGCAGCCAGCTCGCGCAGCTCGGCAGACGACCCCTGCAGGTGGGCATAGGCGGGCAGGCAGGTCTGGGCAGGCAGGCAGGCAGGCAGGCAGGGCAGGGGCGGAGGAGGGGAGCCGGGCGGGGAGATGAGCGGGCGAGGCGGGCAGGCAGGCAAGGCAGGCGGGGCAGGGCAGCAGCAGGCAGCAGCAGCTGCTGAGGCAGTCCCCGGCAGCAGCAGGGTGAGGCAGTCCCCGCGCCGCTGCAAGGCTGAGTCCCTCTGCCCGCGCGGCGGCAGCGACGGTCCCGACTCGGTCCCTTGCACTGCTCCCTCTAAGCAACACATGCCCGCCCCCGACCGCACCTGCAGCACGCCCTGCAGGTAGATGGGCAGCACCGGCGACAGCGCCTTGGGCAGGCAGAGGCCCGGCACGAGCGGCGCCTTGCCGCCGCCGCCGCCGCCGCCGCCGCCGCCGCCGCGCCGCTTGCGCCGCTCCTTGTCCCGCGCCGCCGCCACCGCGTCCTTGAGGCAGCGCACGAAGCTGGGCTGCATCTCTTTGGGGATGGAGGCGGTGACGGCGCCCAGGGCGGCCCAGCAGGCGGCCAGCGTGTCGGGGTCCTCCTCAGTCAGCAGCGGCACCAGGGTCTGCGGGTGGTGGGTGGGGTGGTGGGTGGGGGTGGAGGCAGGTTGTGGGTGTGTCACAGAGGGGAGGAGGGGGTGCATATGTGCGTGTGCAGGTGTGGCTGTGGGATGGTGGTGGTGGTGGTGGTGGTGTGTGTGGGGGTACTGGTGCCAGTACCAGGCGTGTGCAAAAAGGAACAAGGGAGT